TAGAAAGTGACTGGAGTGATAAGCCTTGAAGACTAAAATTGGGCTCACCCTTAGGGTTGGGCTTTGGAGTGTAATAATTAATTGATAATTAATATATAATTAATTATCAAAAGATGGGCCTTGGGTCTCTTGGGATCGGGCTCTAATAATTAAATTATTTAATTAATTATTTTCGGCAGACTATTAAGTTTGAGGGGTTATGTTTTATACATTTAATGACATAATATATTGTTAGCAAGAGGAATATGACAAGACTATTCTTAATTAATGTCACCTATATAGGAGTAAATGGGGCCGCATTTATGAGAATTGAAATGGCTAAATTCTCTAAAGCTCCTACGAAATCCGGGATCTGTTCAGGGTCGAAATGAACACAACCGTATGAATTGACGTATGGCAAACATGATATGTGTGTAGCATATTGTCTTGGTTTACTATTGTGGTGAACAGTTCAAGATCTTCCACATCCACTGCGTCACCAAGTAAACCCGATATGTTTTCACTAGGGTAAGTTCAAGTCCAAAAGAAACTTCACCCGATGCATATCATATCTATTTTCTCTCAGTTTTAGGCAGCCTAGTCATACATTTGCATTTACATTTGCATTCAAATGTGGGGTAGTTGTTGAAGTTTGAATGAAATTTCAACTCAAATGTAGGGTATTGTTGGAAATTTTGAGTACAAATTTCATTGTCCCACATTGGTCATTTTTAAAAGGATTCCTCACTTTATAAGGCTTTGTCCCTTATAGAAAGTGATTGGAGTGATAAGTCATAGAGACTAAAATTGGGCTCACCCTTGGGGTTGGGCTTTGGGGTGTAATAATTAATTGATAATTAATATATAATTAATTATCAAAAGATGGGCCTTGGGCCTTGGGGCTCGGGCTCTAATAATTAAATTATTTAATTAATTATTTTCGGATTTAATTAATTAAATTTTTTTTTATTATTACCAACAAACTCATCCTTTCAGATGAAGTATGAAGAGTTCAGAAAAAACGCAGAGCAAAGCACTCCTCTGAACAGATGTCTCCCAACAATCACACCCCATTCTCATACCTGTTGCGAACAGGCATAATCCCATTATATATACATCCATCTGCAAGACATTTAGAGCATAGAAAGTCAACATTCTTCTTCTACAATCATAAACATCCTTTTTGAGAGAACCACACAAAAATTCACCAAAAGTCAAATTTTCCGGTGTTGGAATTCTTGACTTAGATCGTTGAATCCTGGTGAAGCAGATGTCTGTACAACTACAAGCATTGAGTAGGGACGAAATTTCTGTTTCAAGGACACTGCGGTACATAAGCCCCGATCTTCAATTTTTCTATTTACATTGTTCATACTTTGTTCAATATTTATTAGTATTTATTATTTATTAGCATATATAATTTTATCACAGATTGTTGACATATATCCAATAATAGTGTAGTTCTCGAATGTGAATTAACCAGGCAGGATCACCTATGCAAACAAGTAACCAAGTAGGCAGTGACCCCTTAACCAAGTGCAGTCACCCCGTGAATGCATATGGTCCCCCCTTCCCCCAAATGCAGATTAACCAGGCGGGACTATAGGCAAACGTCCAATAGTTTGATCCCCCAATGCGGATTAATCAAGCAAGACTACCCACAAAAGTAATGTGACCAAGTAGGCAGTGATCCACAATTACATATTAACCAGGCAAAGTCACCCTTAGGATGCATATGATCGCAATGTGGATTAACCAGGCAAGATCATCCAAGTACCATTTGATACATGGTGCAATCTCATTATCACACATCACGCATCAACCATCATACATCATACATCATACATCATGCAAAATACATTACCCATGAGATTTTCATTGCAAGGACATACCCAGTTCATCACACACAATACACATACATCAGACGTTATACATCATAACCAATTAACTAGTCACACAATGTACGATTTCTATTAAATGGTCTCCAACTCATTTCCTCACACTAACAATTGTGCATATCATTTATCTCATCTAGGAGCCGAATAAACTTGTAAATCCTGGTAAGGTGCCACTCACACACAAACTGAGGTTTCATACCCCAGGTGGACTGCTAACCAAAATAGGCCCACTAAGATCTATCGTATCTCTAGTAATGCTAACTTCAATTCTTAAGAATACTTCATAACATGTTGACCACAAGTCAACTCTTAGTTAACGTGGTCAATGGTAGGGTCACAGCACTATGTAACCCAAACCCAGAAGATCAACAAATTAGATTTTTGATCCGTAAATTTCTAAGGTCATCACGTCACTCCACAACAACATACTACCATTTCAAGACGAGCAAGGGCCCTTTACGAAACAAGGGTTAAACGATGAAATCTTATCGGATGGACATTAAAATTGAATTTAGGGCATCGAAATTAGCCTAGGAAAACAAAGTTAGCCCATCTGGCCCACGCGACGTTGCATGCGGTGGTGGGCTGGTTAACCCTACCAAGAATCTAGCCAAATCCAAAGCATGCTCAAAATACACAAAAACTTAGCAAACAACAAGGGGTGTAAGTTTTATACCTAGGCTAGAGCCTAGTTGTGGTTGGAAGGCAATGAAAATCGCGCGCCACCGTCCAACGTCCAATAGATGATATAAGAGTTGGGATTTGAAGTTGGTGTCGAGGCAAGTCCAACCTAGGTGGTGGTGACCATCACCGTTAAGAGAAATTGCTGGAAAGTGGTGAGAAACCGGTGACTGTCAAGGAAAAACTCAGCATGACCCACTGCGAACGAAGGCCCAGCGGAGTCAACTTTTGAGTGGGTTGTGATCAGGAGGCCGAGGACTATAATTTGGTGGTGGTGGTGGTGACGATTGATTCGCCGAAAAAAAGATGTGAATCCACATCTAATACTTTTTGCTCAACTGGTTCGCGTTGTCGGGTCGAGTCAACACACAGGGATCAGCTTTCCAAAACAAGAAAGTGTGCTCCAGCTTTGCTGAAGCATTCTATTTATAAAGGTCCAAATGACCATTTTACCAATGCCTTTGCTTGCTTATTTCTCCTTCGTTGGAACTTTGTTTCATAGACAGTTTTCGCATACACATTTGTAGAATCAAGCTCTATCCAAAAATACTAAGATTGACCTTGAAAGGTCTAATTAATGAATAATTACGAAAAATTAAACTTTGTAACTACTACAATTTTAAATTAACAAAAAATAAAATTGGATTATCTATAAAGCGATTAATTATTTATATGCTCCCTTTATTAATTGCAATCTTATTGTGCCTCTTACACTTTATTTGTTTTATTGGAAACCCAAATCGCTGCTGAATCAATTTTTTTTTACAAATTTTTATTTTTTATTAATTACTTAATTCCCTCAACTTGTGTCTCACTTTTCTCCTTTGATTAATTATGTCAAAAAAATCCAAACTGTTTTATGAAAGGATCACGGTCAAATAATTCGATTCAAATCGTGTGATCACGCATTTTGATTAACTAAGTGATAAGAACCAAACAGTTCAACATCGGTTTAGTTCTACTACTTCATCGGACAATCTAAGGAGGAGGCTATGACATGTTGGTTTTGCAACCGGAATGTGAGATTCGCATTCAAAATTTTAGATATGAGAAATTCTTAATCTAAGTAAATCTGAAATCAATTCACAATAGTCCTAGTCAATTGTGGTAACCATCTGAGTGAGGAAGAGCTTACATGAAATGAGGACATCAAGGTGACAGTGTTGCAAACTAGTCATGTTACGTCGTGTTTGAAACTTAAAACATGTTGTGTTGAGTTATTGGTCCACAATGTCACCGTGTCGTCTTGAGGTTGTCGGTAAGTCCTCTGGTGAATGGGATGATGTGGCTGGTAGGGAGGGATATGAAACTAATATCTCATGGGACTGCTTCTGAAAGGGCTGGAATTACTTTCTAACGACCAAAATAGATTCTGACTACAATTGGTAAAAAACAAAATGTAGACGCTTTCGCCTATTTACCCTCATAAACTTTTGAAAGGGCTGGAATTGCTTTTGAAGGGGATATGAAACTAATATGGACAATAAGTGAGCCATTTAATAGGATAATATCATTATTTTCAGCATTTAGATGAGTCATGTGTAAATCAAATAGGACGGTGAGAATGTAATTGACGATTTGTAAAGATTTAGAGAATAATTGACCAAAATAAAAAGTCATAACAAATCGGATGAAATTCTCAAAAAATTAAAAGTGGTTAATGATCATAATAGTGTTTTCTAAAGTACACATGCTAAATGCCTTTTCAAGATGCACTTTTGAGTGATTAAAAAAAAAAAAAAAAAAAAACACTTCTTGTAAGACCAACTCCAAGCCTTGAAGTAAGTCTCAAATTTTCCCTTCTATTCCCCCTCCCCCCAATTTCATTCCAATCCTTGTTCTAAAATGGGGTTAAGTATTAGAACTAAAAAAAAAAGCCAAATTCCGGCCAAGATTTAGGCCAAAGTTAGTGGGCTGGCCCACTTATGCGAGTGGGAAACCAGCAATTAGAGATCACTTTCCCAACCGATGCGCCATACTCTCCCAACCCTCCAGCTACTACAAGGTGGCGACCCCATCCACGTGGGTTGTGTCGTCCACTTGTTGACAATAAAGTTGAGCCCAACGACTCCTTTTGTGATCAACTATTCACATTCAAATGGTCTTTAGTTATCCAACGGTCCACATTTAATTTAGTTAATGTTTTTGTTTTATATTCATTCTTTAATAATCTGGGGCTAAAAATATAGGTTTTAAAGTATGAGTAGAAAAATTGTTTATGAATTTTAACCCAAAAATTGAAGAGAATCTAATAAATTTCAACGTTTTTTTTTTTTTTTTTTCTTGAATGGAAACACTTATGGCCAAAATTAACGGTTTAAAAGCCAAGCATTTGTGAAAGAAAAAAACTAAAAAAAAAAAAAAAAATGAAGAAACATATTCAAATCCTCGAGCGACCGAAACGCAACCTTTGCTTACACAAGTGACAAAGGATTCTGTCTTTGGGGAGGGTTCAGTGGCACGAGTAGCTTTGTACGTTACTCACCTGGATACAAAACCTGACTCCCTCTTCCCTCCTTCCCTTCCCCTTCCCCCACCTCAACAGCCACCACCACGACCCCCACCACCAAACCACAGAAAAAGAGAGAGGGAGCTGTGACTGCGTGTGGGAGACAAGCAGAGAGAATCCAGTTCCCACCTACCTCTCCACTCTCCTCTTAGGTTTTCTCTTCCTCTTATACTCTTCCCCCTTTCGTTTTCATCGCCTCCTTCCCGATCAAAACAAAACCCAATTCTGTATCCACCCAATTTATTTCCTTCTTCGCTGTTGTTCCTCGTACGCATCTATTAAAATGGATTCTTCGGTTACCCATTTGCCCAAAATCGAATCTTTGCCTCTCAAGCACTGCGAATCCGCTTGAAACCGTAGCCAAAAATGCTTTTGTCTGCCACTAAATCTTAGAAGAAAGCGTTTTGCTTTAGGTTTTGAACAATGGGTAGGAAGCAAATTCAAGTTTCCCATGATAAGATTGATGGGTTTCTCTCTGTTTGCAATTTGGGAAATTTGGGATTTCAATGGAGTCCCCAAGAGGGGGGTTACCATCCCGGAGGCTTATTTGCAAGCGTTAGCCAAGTGGGGGTGGGGTTTGGGGTCTCGCCGGACCCTCCCAATCCACGCAGTGATGGCGAGGCCGTGAAGCTTCCGTATGCCGAGCAGTACATGAAGTATGTGGAGGGGATTAAGAATTTTGGGGTTGGGGAAGAGAAAGGGGTGGTGAAGAATAAGAAGGGTGGTCTCAAATTGAAGATTAAGATTGCAAACCCTTCACTGAGGAGACTAATAAGTGGTGCAGTAGCCGGGGCAGTTTCGCGCACGGCTGTGGCGCCCTTGGAGACGATAAGGACGCATTTGATGGTTGGGAGTAGTGGGCATTCTACTACCGAGGTGTTCAATAATATAATGAAGACTGATGGGTGGAAGGGGTTGTTTAGAGGAAATCTAGTCAATGTGATTCGGGTTGCACCGAGCAAGGCGATAGAGGTAGGAAGATTTCTTTCGTATCAACTTGTTTTGGGTTATGGTGGATTAAGGCATGTCTGATATCTTCGACTTGCTGCATATTTACTTTTTTGTGCTTAACTTGTCATATTGGTAATGTTACTATGGTTAGTGATTTGACTTGTTCTTTTTTAGATGTAGTATGGCCTCTGTTGGTTGTTAGCATTGCATGTAAATTAATTTTTCCCTTTGTTTGTTGAAACTAGGCATGTAAATTAATTTTGCCCTTTGTTTGTTGAAACTAGGAGTAAGTCAAGTTTCATACTTTTTCATGTGGTATTTTGTTTCTCTGAACATATCAAGTGCGTCCAATACGAATTAAGCTGTCTGTGAAATTTGAGAACATTTCTGATTTAATCCGAAAAGCTTGGTCTTTGGCTTCCACAAGGTATCATGATGCTTTTCTATGGGATTACAGTTCTGTTTTCAGCTTTTTTCCTTCACTGGGATGTATATGCAACAATCTTAGTTAAAGTGCCTTGCACCTATGAGTCATCCCATGCTTATATTGCTAGATCATATAGTTTGGAACCTGCCAGTCCTCTGGTATGATGCTGCTTTTAGTTGCACATGGTAGTGCTTTTTCATTCTAGTCAAATGATCTGCAAGGTGCGGTAAACTACCTTATGCAGAACCTCAAGGAGGAACCTTGTGTGAATTGGAGAAATTGAATTCGTGGTACGGTGTTCTGCATTAGTCATAGTATGGAAAATGCTGCTGCAAATTGTTGATTTAACGTGCTAATCAGTTCTCCATTTAGTTCTTTTTTTAGTTATATCATCTTCGATCATTGAGGAGAAGCACTATAATGTTAAAGGAGATGGCCCATCTAGCTTCTGTTCAATACAGAAAAGATGAAGCTTGCTTCATGCAGAAAGCAACTTCCTTTTGATGTACCGTGTTTGAACCTGCCTAGTCTGTTTTTTGTGTGACCAAGAAAACATTTGTTTATAGTGAATACAAACAGATAAAGAGATTTAAGGCACCTGTCCAGTGTACAGTAGCTGTTGTATTGTATTGGTGTGTACATGTTATGTTAACTCAAAGTTGGCAAGAAAATCAGTTGGAAGTTCCCTGCATGAATATGATATTCGTTACAAAGATTTGAAGGATTTCAAATCTGCAGGTTTAATTGGTTTTATGTGTGCTACCTTTTTCTATTTGCAGCTGTTTGCTTATGATACGGTTAACAAGCAACTGCAACCAAAACCTGGAGAGCAGCCCAAACTTCCAATTCCTGCCTCGTTAATTGCAGGTGCTTGTGCTGGAGTGAGCTCGACAATTTGCACATACCCTCTTGAGTTACTTAAGACGCGGCTAACCATTCAGGTATTGTAAGGACTAGCACGAGTGTGTGCCTATCTCAAGTATGGCTGTTGCATCACATAATAATGTTGTTATATCTGCAGAGAGGCGTTTATGATGGCCTTTTGGATGCATTCTTAAAAATAGTGCGAGAAGAGGGACCGGGAGAGCTTTACAGAGGTCTTGCCCCTAGTCTTATTGGAGTAATTCCATATGCTGCCACCAATTACTTTGCTTATGATACATTACGGAAAGCCTATCGCAAGTTTCTCAAACAGGAGAAGATTGGAAACATTGAAACCCTTTTAATTGGATCAGCAGCCGGTGCTATTTCAAGTACTGCAACTTTCCCACTTGAAGTGGCACGCAAACAGATGCAGGTGGGAGCCCTCGGTGGGAGGCAGTATACGAATGTGCTTCATGCCCTCGCCAGTATACTTGAGCATGAGGGGGTTCAGGGTTTATACAAAGGGCTAGGGCCGAGCTGCATGAAGTTGGTGCCTGCAGCAGGGATTTCGTTCATGTGCTACGAAGCATGCAAGAGGATACTGGTAGAAGGAAAAGAGGAAGAATAGAATACTTTCATGAGATATAAATGACTTTACATGTTGGTTGCAGCAGACAGGAAAGATATGGGAGAACTTATCTGCTACACGGGTTTAGTTGCCCATTTTCTTTTTGATTGCTGCATTTTTTTTTTTTTTTGGTTCCTTTACATTTTGTAACTCAATTGAGGGAGCCTTGTTTTTCCTGAGGTTAGACTTGATGTTTTTGAGGATTAATTTAAATGGCATTTGGCTTAGTGTTTTGTCTTGATGTGTCATAAGCGAGAGAACAATTTGCATGAAACGAGTCCATCACCATATGGATCTCAGTTCAATTAAGTCCTCCGAATGCGGCTGCAGCTCCAAAGGTATGCACATTGTACATACGCATTTCTTTGTCGGGCGCCTTACTTATTGCCTTGGAGGTTTTGCTACCAATTCCCTTTGCTATCATGTCCTCGCATAATGCTCATGTTGCCCTAATATTGTTTAGGGATGTACACTGCCCAAAAGCCACTTGCACGTTACTAATTGGGTTGTTTGTGACAAGAAATTATTGTGTGGTACAAAAATACCTTGAAGCATAAGCCCGTCATCCACTTATATTATAACACGTAAATTGATTATATCATTTGATTTAGTTCCCGACAATAGCGTATTATCAGTGCATTACATTGAAATCGTGAAAGCTAAATTAATTCCATGCTCCGGCAGCAAGAAGCAATAAATTCATAACATCCTAACACACATGTTAGCTTAGCTAATTAACCTAGGAATAAATTTTAATCTTTTGGTAGCAGAGATAACGCTTTTCTACAACAATCCCTAAAAGAAATTTTATCGCAGTTAAACAAAATGCCACAAGAGAGACGAATCTAGGAACAAAAGTCAAGACATCCACTGGTTTTAAAGAAACCTACTAGTGCATGCACCAAGCTAGATATCAGAAACAACACATTTCAACTCTACTCATACTCAATGCCTTCCTCGGCCGCAGCAGCTGCATCAGCATCAGCAGCCATTATCTCGTCGAACTTCTCTGACTTTCCAAGCAATATTTCGATCTAAATAACAAAGAAAATCATATGATACCATCATCAATCTCCAAGATAAAGGTACAGTAATAAATTACTTAACTAAAGTAATGTAATGCATTGTAGTGTCCAAAATAAATTGTTATATCATCCAAGTTATGAGAAAATTAAAGTGGAGAGTGAGCAAATCAGCCCTGAAACTCATAACTAAATTGAAAAACAACCCTGTAGAATCAACACTGGTTAAACAAGCACTTGAACAAAAAGACAACCAAAACAAATACTTTGGTCCAATTAAACTAAACCCACATTTTGCTTTCAAGGTCTAACAATTCAACCAAATTGGATAAGCTAACTAGACAGTCCGATTATTTGGTGCCGGCACTTAAGTGTTCAAGTATAGAAGCACCTATAAATTACTCAAACACCATGACCCACCAAAAATGGGTTGTCCATCATGCAGACAAGTAATTGTATAGATTTAGAAACATGCAAACTTTGAAAAGCACGTGCCTCATTTTCGTCAATGAGCACTTCTTGACTAATATGAACCCCATTTTCATTTAAACAATGATGATGTACGTTCCCATAGACCTTGCTAAGATCTAAGAAAGATTTGTTGTTAACATCAAATAATGTTTCAAGGACCCAGAGTTTTGGTGCATTACGTCCCCATTCTGCCGACTTAGGTTAATGAAATGCCAATGCAGATACCAGAAAGCTTCAAAGCTAATACAAGATTAAAATGTACCTTTGCCTTTTGAATGGGCCGCCCTCCTGCATCTTCCCTCATGTCAATTGTAGAAGTCATGATTCCTGTATATATTGCATACAACAGCAAGTTAAAACATATATGAGTAACAATTACCACAAAATAAAAAATAAAAAAAAGAGTATCGAAAAGGCGCAAGAATCATACTCTTCTCCAAAGCCAATCCATTGTTCTTCAGAATCTCAGCAATGGTAACAACTGTGGCAATAGCTGTAGATATATAAAACAAATTGTGAAGCCATAGTAGTTAGTACAAAAAAGATACAAAGCCTTCACCTCAATTATACCGAACATATTCAACAATTGACATAATGAGCCAATGCCTAGGCAGCAGTACGATTCTACTCCATAACCACACTCGCGGCAGGAGAATAATCACTCGTGACAGGAGAAAAAATACCAGGCTAAGGTGGAGAAAACAATACCCATTCCAAGAGCGGAGAGCTCCACCTCATTGTTGTGCTGCATGTACCTCTGCAAATCCAAATATCAAACCGCTGAATCACTCAAAACACAAACACAGTAGCTTTCGGTTTTGTAAATAATGGGGTTTCTCAAAAGGAAAAATCCCATAAAATCGATACCAAACAGACGAAAAAGGAGAAAGGTGCACATTTGGTTTTTGTTACCTTGGCGAGATTGACGTAGAAGAAGAGGGGCTTTTTGGTGTTGGAGACTTGGATGCGATTCTTCTTCTTGTTGTTGTATGATGCGTCTGTAATTCGCAAGTTGTTCACTCCTTCTGCGAGACCCTCCATTGCTTCTTCCTTCTTGGTCGGTCCTGCTGAGAGAGAAAAGAAAACCCTAATTTGGTCTCAACGGTGTCTCCGAATTCTCTCTGCAGTCAAGTCCCAATCAATAAACCCTCGACTCGCTGGTGGCTTTTGAGGCTTCGGCAAGTCAATACGGTGTCGTATTATTCATAATTGGTTTGAGGAAATGACATTTTTACCCTCCCAATTTCTTACTTTTAATAATAAAAGCGATTTTCCACTTTGAACTAATTATTAATCTAATTGCACAATGGGATGTGTTATCCACACACAAATTTGGATATATGTGGATATCATAGCCCTTGCACAACGAAAGATTCAAATTTGGATGCATAAGAAGATCATATTTAGATTGGAATTTATTGTGTTTGCAAGTTTGAGGTGTTCTTCAACATACAGTCCAATTTACTGCAATCAAGTAAAACTGAATCCAATTTGGGTGAAGAAAATAGGAAAACTAATGAAAAGAGCTCGAAAACTATGAGATAGTACTATGATTGATTTTTTAGTGTAAAAATATGATTTTTCGTTAAAGTGAATAGTACCGTGAACTTTTCGTTAAAGTTCCAAAAATTGAAACTCATCGATTAGGATGTTCATGACACAATGCATTTTTGTGAACTACATTTATCCTTGGAAAAGAATCATATCAAATTTTTTTTTTTCTAGCTATTTTAATGATGGTAATATGGTATGATCGAGAAAAACTAGAGTAAGGCAACCCAATCAATCAGCTAGTGAAATCACTCTCAACAAGCAGTGAATTCATGTGCAATGGAACTTGTCACGTCGTATTGAATAGTACTCGCTTGGATCCATTCGTCCAACCATATTATCAGGTTGTACTACCAAAGTTTTTCTCCATGCTTCACCATATTATCATTCATGTGAACATATTGCATAAAAAATCAATAAATAAAAAAAACTAATAAAAATGACTTGAATTAACTTAATAATAAGGACAAAATAAACGGTAAAATGAATAGTACCAGAATTGACTTTTTAGTGTAAAAATTTAATTTTTCGTTAAAATGAACAGTACCGTAGGTTTTTTTTGTTAAAACTCCCATAAATAAACCTAGTAACAGAGGCAATTTGTTTAATGAAAGAATCTGTATTTCAATTGTAGTAACAATGCTTGCATACATCGAACAAAACAAAGTTTGTCCTAAAATACAGACCAAAGTAATGAAATAAATAGCTTCAACCATAACAATAATAGTGCACATCAATGACCAAGATCATTAAATTTCAAGAAAACACATTTCAATAGCAAACAATAAATACTCGACAACAGGGCAACAAAACCGATACACAAGGCGTTCTCTCATTGTTCTTCCACCCGACTCCCTTCTGGACGTGGAGACCATACGTACAAGTTCAGTAGACGAATTTACCTGATTTCTTTTACATAGTATATACAAACAGATGGCGTGGAGAGAGTTGCCGGTTCCACAAAAATAGTCTTTGAAACGAACTAACAGTTGATGCCACATTGACCGTTTGTTGCAGCGTTTGTTTTGTCTGAAGTGAATGGGTCGATGCGCACCCATAGCAAGGAAAATATTGAAGCAAGAAGGATGGACCACACGATGACGATTGTCGGGGTACGATTTTGCCGACCCAACAGACCCTTCAAGAATGGATACAGATGTGCTACCACCCATAAGGCGAAAAACAGTTTGCCAAAAAGTGGACCCCAAGATTGGTAACCGCTATTTATAGCATATGAAACACCGGCCACAATACCTACTATGTTCACAAGAAGAACCGTGGTTGGAGGGATGAGAAGTGATGTCCATTTGAACACGTAGAGCTCGGCAAAATCCCCATCCTCATCAGATGACTTTGACGTGACCGTGAAGTTGGTATCAATCCCAGCAAGAACTTTCAGGAGACCTTGGAAGACAGCGAATAGATGAGCTGATGTTCCACCAATGATCCAGAACTGTTCGTTTCTCCACCAGTCATCAATACTGACTCCACTCCACCTTAGCTCAAGAATACCGGTTGCAATAATGGAAACAAAGAGCAGAATGAACCACATGCTAGCGAAGTTACTTATCTGCATTAACAATTAAACATTCAACAAATTTAGTGACTGCCCAGAATGATAATCTAGAGTGTGAAAAGCCTAAAGAAAGGTCCCATGACGGTGCTGTTGAGAATGAATCCCACATTGATGGGACGAACCTTACACACTTTAAGGAATCATGTTAATGAATTCTTTCTAAAGTTGCAGAATTAGTGTATTTTTTTTTTGTTTGTTTTGAGTAAGAATGACGCAGAACCAGTACTTACCTCAGGAATGATAAACTTTTCTGTGAGCAGGCAAAAGGCAGGAAGCAAACAGTAGGCAATCAGTGGTATGGATGTGAGAGGGTAAACGATGGTATTGATGTATGCAAGTCTCTCCAAAAGCTTCAACTTCCCATTGTAGCCATACCATATGGGACAATGCCTGCTGAGCAGAATTTCAATGGAACCCAAGGCCCATCGAAGCACTTGGTTCAAACGATCAGAAAGATTGATGGGAGCAGAACCCTTAAATGCTGGGCGGGGAGGCATGCAATAGACTGATATCCAGCCACGAGCATGCATCTTAAACCCAGTTAAAATATCTTCAGTCACAGAGCCATAGATCCATCCAATCTGGTGATAAAACAAAATGTCAATTATTGTGAATTTAAAATCACAAATTCATTCATTAAGTATTTTCAGAATAAGGGGGGCTAGGACCTATATTGCTATTCTGACCTCTTTTCCCCATTCACTCTTGTCTTCATATCCACAGCTAATAACATGTATAGCTTCCTTCAAAAGAGTTGCAGGATTGGTTGTAGGTGGAATGCCTCCTTGTTCCATGAAGGTGGCTGCAATAAAAACTGGTGATTGACCAAAACGCTTCTCTAAGCTCTTCTGAGACATAAGAAGAGTCCTCTCATCATCATAACCTGCAGAAGATGAAGTTATCTCAGTCAATTTTGCAAAGCATGGATGCATCAATCATCATTTTGGTTTTCTGTTAATTTTGGTCAATAACACTCCAAATGATTTTTTATTTTTTCTTTTTAAGGTTTGTCAAATGAGCAAAATTGTTAAAAGCTTCCTTGTTACATGTGATGCGATCATGCGATGGACGCACTTTCATGAATAACTTGCAACATTAATGTACGTGGCAATATATTTGGAGAAAAGAACTTAAAAAAAAAAAAAAGATAATATAAGAATCTACCTTCAACACCCTCCTCAATGTCTTCCATATTGAAAATGGGAATGGTGGATTCCGTTCTTTTGACCGCCCTCTTCTTGTCAATATACTTCTTATTGCTAGTCTTGTTCTTCTTTCTTGAACCACAACAACTCTTGACAATAATGTTTGGCTGCAAATCTTCCTCGGTCAAAACCGGATCGTACCCATACAGAGCTTGTCTGTTGAAACAGCAACCAGTTCCCACATAGACTGGACCCTGGATGCCATCCAGCCCTTTCAAGTTGATCTGCAAGTAAGACGAAATAAGGATATATTTTCCAGAGTGTATCCATACTGTCACATAGAGTGATATTAGTAATTGACTAATTGGTGGTTATAAATCAAGTAGCACATACATCAAAGAAGACAATGTTCCGATTGGCATATCTATCGTGCAAATCAATGCCATCAAATCGCTGAGGGAACTGGACATAGCAGGTCTTCTTCCCATAAGCTGGGTCCATCATGAAACACATGGCTTCCTTAAGAGCTTTACTGTTATTGAAGTAGTGATCACAATCAACGTTCAAAAGATATGCACCGTTTGTCAGGACGGCTGAAACTCGAATCTACATGGCATATGGTGAACCAAGTTAGAAAAGCAAAATGGTTTTGGTACCGACTTCAATTCAACAGGGAACAATCTTATCTTACAAAACTTGTTTAAAAGATGATGACATTTTGTACCATAAAATGTGTCATGGTGTAGTTGGCCAAGGAAACATTGAGGGTTCTAACTGGTTAAGGAAATTTTGAGGATCCTAATTGGCAAAGAAAATAATGAGGATCTTACTAGGCTAAAGAAACATTGAGGGTTCTAACTGGTTCAGGAAATTTTGAGGATCCTAATTAGCAAAGAAAAATATTGAGGATCTTACTTGGCCAAAGAAATATTGAGGGTTCTAACTGGTCAAGGAAATTTTGAGGATCCTAATTGGCAAAGAAAACATTGAGGACCTTACTTGGCCAAAGAAATATTAGGGTTCTAACTATTTAGAATTTGTCCAGCTTTAGCAGAAATGTTGACAAAATATAGTTCCAAACAAGTCAAACCACTAAACATTACTGCTAAGAAAAGAACAATTATATTTTAATCAATTTGAGGGGAAACAAACCAATGCATTCATTGCTCCAGCTTTCTTGTGATGTTGGAATCCAGGTCGCTTCTCACGAGAAACATAAACAAGTCGAGGCAGTTCATTGCCATCAGTATCAAGGCCACCGCTGTGGCCTAAGAAGACCTGTTCTTCCACATGATGGAAAACTAAATTAGCACGAAAGCCAGAAGAGGAGGCAGAAACCCAAAAGCACTAGATAAAAATGCAAGTACCTGGATCATTCCTGGATGGTCTCTAGGGTTGTTCCCAGGCCATGGAGTCCCATCCTGCATTGTCCAACCTTCTTCAGGCATCTTCTGTGCCTTGGCAACTAGGGCATTGATCCGAACCTTGAATTCTTCATACTCTCTCTGTGGGCAAAACCAATATGCATTTAGTCTCTCTTCATAGTGCTACATATGTATGTAAGTTTACCACAATCTGCTTTCTAAACATCCCTTAACTCTCCTAGGTATAATCAGTCTTACGATTTCAAATTTTAAACTATTTGAACAGATTGCAGAAATAACTACTAAAGAAACCATAACACTGTTTTTCATTTTCCTTGTGCGCACTTGCAGTCAAACTCAAGTTTTGATAACAAAGAAATTGATAATCCGGAGTCTACCTATAATATTGAAGTAATCAGTCTTGTTTGAATGATAAATAATGCAAACTATAGAGGTGATCAGTTGATGTTTTAAAGCCAAAAACCAGATAGGGATTTATATTGCTTTAAAAGTAATG